CTGGGCCTTGACTTCCCCTGAAAACCTCAGGTTCCCTGTCTGCCAGCAAGTCAAGCCCATAGGGCAAGTCAGAGAGTTGAAAAGCCAGTACACCTTAGGCACGTGCCATCGTATGTGAGATTAAGTCAAATCAAAGGCAGCTGTCTCTAACGCCGAGAAATGTCCCAGGGCTGTGCCTGTTGTTTGTCAGCGAAATCACACAGAGATGAAGTGGTGTCAGCTTTGAAAAGAGACCATCATGGCTGTGGGCCTAGACACTCCATCCAAGGGATCCCTGGCAGAGCCTGCCCAGAGAGGAGGGCTGGGGAGAGGGGCGACTAGAGGATACTGGGCACAGAGTTGGCCAGAGACCAGATTTTCCAGGGATCTGCCATTAGCTGTTTTTCTTAAAAATTCACGTGTTAATAATTAAAAGTCGGAGCCAAGTAGGAAGCAGGCCAGGGATGCATTTCAGAGGAGTTGGCAAGGGAGAGAGAAATTGGCCTGTGAGGGAAATGGGGAAGATTGATGAATGTATTAGTCACAAAAGGATGTTTCTCTCTCAGGACAAGTTGTTAGGCCAAGAGGTGGCTTCTTTTGACCATTGAAACAACACCCTCGAGAGCCATGAGCCCTGTGGCATGTGGAGCTTCGCGAGGGCGCTAACTTGTTTTCTCATTGAACCCCAGGGGAAGGACATGTACCTGGTCCTGGAGAATGACATGCTGAGCCTGCTGGACCCCATGGACCGCACGGTGCTCCACTCGCAACCCATCGTGAGCATACGTGTGTGGGGCGTGGGGCGTGACAATGGCCGGTGAGTGCCGGGGGCCCAGCTCTGAGGTTGGGTCTCACTGCTCTTGTGCACGGGTCTTAAAGTTGGCCTGAGACTCTGCCTAGAAATGCAAGAATTCAGGGCCCTTCCTGGTCGTGCAGTGGGTTAAAGCTCAGCACTATGGAGCTACCGCAGCCACTGCAGAACAAGTTCAATTCCTGGCCAGGGAGGTGACCCACATGGTGCAGCAGACCTCTCCTGACCCATCTGCTGCTCCCCTCAGCAGCATATTTTAGTACATCTGCCTTTTCTGTTCCCCACTCTGTCTCTGGTGAATCCTCTCACCCCTATACTCTGACCTGTACCCCACTTCTGTTTAGATAAGTAAATCTTAAAGAAAAAATGCAAGAAATTCAAGTTATGTTACTACCTCCCTACTTCACAAACGCTCCAAGATACTTTGCCTTCCTCGTTTCTGTCCCTCAAACCTTTTGTCAGCTCTCTCAGAAGTCTGCATTTCTCCTCCTTATGCATCGAAGTTTCCAAGCTCTCTGAATCTCTGCCCCTTTGCCCCTCACTGTTTGACCTTCCACCCCGTTCAGTGGAGTCTCGGTCACTTCCAGTGCCCTATTGTTGCAGTTTTCCTCCTAGAGTGGCTTGCTTGCAGGGAGAGGCTGTACTGTCTTTAATTATGGGCTTTGCATCATTAAATTTCAAGGAATAAGAATTTCTGGGATGGAGGGGTCAACATCTTGTATCAAAATTCTACACAATGTGTATTTTTCTGAAAGTCTACTGAAAATGCATTACTCATAGCAAGTGCTTCTTCTTAGATGCGCTGTGAATTTTCTATTCTCCAGCATGACTGGAAAGAGTCTTAACCAACAAAGTGGCCGTTGTCACAGACATCACACTTGGACACCAGTATCAACTACTTGACTACATTAGATGAATTTAACTCTTCAATTTTAGTTTATCTTTGGCAACTGTCAAGGTACCCACAGATCTCCTGGCATTTCGTGGTGAGCAACACCATGCTGAGCTAGTGCTTTGCTGAAAATGGAAAAGAGCATCTTGGGGAAGCGGGTGAAAACCCCAGATGACAGAGACATAGCTTTTCTTGACTTGTATATCCTGGGCATTTTGGTTTACTGGCTCGTGAGGTTCTCTCTAGGGGGCTCTGCCTGGCTTTGACTCCTAAGGCTGGGCTTAGGCAGATTTGATGGTCTTTTGATTCAGTGCCAGTTCCTAAGCCAGAAAGAAAAATGCTTAAACATTTACCAATCAAAGAGCAAACCCCTCTGCTGGAACCAGACATAAAAAATAGACTACTGCAGAGTGCGGCCGTGTTCTTTGACCGGTGTTTGGGTAATCCTTCCTGGAAACACAGTCAAGTTTCTGAGCTTTCATAGCAGAGTGAGCAGTGACAGCTGAGCCAGTTGCAGGGGAGGTGGGGGGTTGGGGGGGGTGTGGATACTTTATTGGCACACACCTGTCCCTCACTTGCTTGGCTGAGCTGTAGGGATGGAGTTGACACTGGTATGAATTGATAAATGTCACAAGGAAAGTACCTGATGGTGTTTGGTCATCCATTAAATCTCTGTAGCTTGATAGAAGAGTGACAAATGCATGATTCTCCCCTGATTCCTATCATCTAAGTTTGTTTTTAAGACTGGAGCCAAGGCGAAGTTCATCCCATGGGATGAGGTTGTGTTTCTTTCAGGTTAGGCTGAGGATTCATTGAGGAAGTAGTCAGCCTACCCGCACTTGAAAATGAGACCCAAAGTTGTATGTTCACGGAGGGGGAGAAAATGATTCAAACCCAAGTTGACAAAATTATTCAAGTGCTGAGCCTCCATTTATCTTATCGTGGAATAGGAATCATAATAAAGACCACAAACCGAGTCTCTGTGCCAGTGCGTGTAGTGATGGCTTAGTCACGGGTGTGGCAATTGCTGAACGAGTATTAGCTCTTCACTTGTTTAAGCATCATGTACTAGCAGAGGCATGAATTACCTGGCTTCCTTTCAAAGACAGGACCCGTCTGGAAAGGATGAGAATTTAGCCAGGCATCGTTTGATACAGAGGATGGGAGTCTGTCCTGGACACAGGAGCTCAATTGTCCTATCAAACAGCAAGAGCCACCAACAATCTCAACTTAACCTGGGTTATGTTGCCTTGGTGATGTGTTTGAAATGTGAGTCAGGTTACAATTTTTTTTATACAACTGCTATTACTCAACGTGCATTGATGGCTGTCATTTAGAAATACTCTTGGGTTTCCCGTCTGTTCACCTCAGCAGGCTCATGCTGGCCGGTAGCCCTCATCCTACATGGCTTTAGGAGCAGTGAAAGGCCCCATTTCTCCCCTATGTTTCCCCTGAGTTTTCATTCCCTAGAAGGGACCTTTGTGGTCCTGTCTTTGTATTTCATTTTTTTACTTTGCTTTTGATTTTTTTTTTAACAGCAATTTACAAGAGCAAATTCAATTTGTAATGTGGCAAAGGAAAGGGGTTTTCACTTTGCATGAATAAAACATAAAAGTGTTTCATTTTGCTTGCAAAAAATGAGCCCATTTCGCATTCTCTTTTGTAACTTTCCTTGCTGAGAAAAATGGAATCTCTTAGGGGATTTCTTGATGTGGTTAAAATGAGTAAGAAAAGTAGGTACACTAGAGGCTTGAAGAGCACAGAATCTTTCTTGAAGTTCAGAGGGCTGCAGTGAACCGCATAATTTCAGAAGTTATGGTGTTGGTTTGGATTTAGCATTTTAAGACTTTCAAGTGCTTTTGATTTGTCTGAAGAAATTCCTTATGGGGCAAGTTACTCTGGGTGAAAAGGTGATGTCACCCGCTGAGTCAGCAGGTTGGTTTGAAGAGCCGTCTTAGGATGGACGGATGTGGCTCTCTGTGGGGTGCTGGCTGTGGTGTGACCAGGCTGAAGGGTCTTGTCTGGAGCCCTCCTCCCACTTTCTGATGGTGTTTCTTGGACCACATTTGCATTACTGGATGGTGAAGTACTAGCCACCTCTTTCTCGCTGATTCTGTACTTTGACTCCTTTGATTACAGTGAGATAAATGTCAAAGTTGGGGGCGTGAAGATTGGGGGAAGCCTTGTGTTTCCAATCAAACACAGCGCCAGAGAGCACCCATCCTGCCCTGCACCACTCCCGCCCGTGGAAGGGGGGTGTCCTCACGTGTGTGGCTGGTGCTGGACCGTTAGACTGGGATTTTGCCCTGGTGCTGGAGGCCCTGGCCAGAGTAGATGGGATGGGAGGGATTCACAGCACTCAACCTGTTGCTGAAACTAAACCTTAGTGTTAAATAGGGTGTGGCCAGGCAGCTGCTGCAGGTGCAGCAAGACCTCACTCAGGAACATTCTCAAGTGGAATACTAGTCAGCTGTGAGCAGAGAAAGAAAGATGGTTGCCATTTACAGCAACACGCAAGGAGTTCAAGGGAATTGTGCATAACAGTAAGGCAAGTCAGAGCCACAAAGATGAATACTGCACATTTCTATAATGGACAATTCAACAAAGCAAGATACTTACTAAAACTACAAATCAATGAAGTGAATGGTCTGAAGTTAAGAGGCAGGAGGTTTAGGTCAAAGGATGGTAAGAGGTGGTGGTGAAAAAAATTTAAGAAGTAGAAACTGCAATTTGAAACAAAACAATGTATAACAAAACCAGTTTTACTACAGACGAGTGACTTTTCTAAAATAAAAGGATCAGAAGGCAGCAAGCAAGCTGTGAATGGTGGGGACGCTAACCAGAGCCTCTCCATTCCCCCTGTGGTGAATGCCCATCACCAGGAAGGGCACCTCCTTCCCAGGGTGCGTTCCCACAGGGAGGAGTCCGCTGATCCCACCTGCCCCCACGAGACAGGAAAAGGAGTGGGTGGTGCAGTCCGAGGGTCTTAGGCCCCTTACGTGGGATCGTTCCACGCAGCTCCTTGTCCCGTGAGCACTCATCAGGTAAGGTGCTCCTAGGGAAGATTCTGGGGTCACCTGGAAACTGGATGAAGCCAGGTGCCACAGACCCCTTTTCTCTGAGAAAGCATTTTGCAGACTCTTCATGGAAATCGAGGCACAGCCCACACACTTGGAGAAATGCCGCTCCGGTCTGTAAGCTCATTCATCTCAGTTAGTGGCAGTGCGACATTGCTGGTTGTTTTGAAGAAAAATTGGAGTGCTTTGAATAAATAGCTATTATAAGTGAGACCCTGTTGGGCTGGCTCTAATGAAGATAAAATTCCTTTGTAATTAATAGCAACCACCACAATGGCTTTGCAGCGCAGGTTGAATGTGGCTGCTGTGCTTGGGTGGCAAGGCCTCGCCCTGGGGGCTGTTGCATAGATCGTTTCTGGTTTGGGGGACACTTTCTAATGCCACCATGTCTAATAAGTTATTCATAGATTTTCAAATGAGTTTATCTTTGACTTAATGTCTTGTTTTGTCTGGTTAAAATCACAGGGAACTTTTTTAAAAAAAAGTAATAGTTTATTTTTACATCACTTGGTGCCTTTTTCCATCTCAGTTGTACTGCCCGTGGGCTTCCCAACACCAAATAAATCATCTGTGTGCGCTTCGCCATCCCCCCACCCCCATTTTTGATCCCATTCCCACTCCACCCCGTAAAATGTCTCTGGTATACAGTTGTTCATTATTATTTCCCCCCACCCCCGCCCCGGTCCTTTATACTCCTGTTATGAGTGTTTTTTTCTTTCTGGCTTATTTCACTAAGTGTGATCTCAGGGAACTTTTATCCAAAGAACATAGTATATTTCCAGTGTACTCAATATTTTTTTCATGTTTTCTTCACCTGGAACTGGTTTTATCCACTCACACCCTAGTTTTAAGTTGCTTTAAAAAGCTATTGGCACATATGTCTCATGGTTTTTTTGTTTTGTTTTGTTTTGTTTTTTTGGGCTCATGTTGTTTTTATTTCTTTTGAAAGCACTGCTTAATTTTTGGGGGGGGGAATCTTGAATAATACTTGGGTTAATTATAGTTAGAATGTATAAAACTTTAAGTCAAGGGCTTTT